TCTCTCTCTCTCTCTCTCTCTCTCTCTCTCTCTCTCTCTCTAACAAACAGACTCTTCCTCAAGATTCTTTCTGTTCCTAAGGGCTCATTCACCAAGCCCCATTCCCCTCTGGAGTTAATAGCTGTCCCTGGCTGGCGCTCTGCTGCCTCATGTGGCCATATGTGGCATTGCATGCCCCTTCTCGTGAGAACAGAAAGTTAAGAGTCATTTTTGGGACTGCAGGGCCGCATACAGAACCTAAAAAAATGCCAATAGAATCCCTGTTGGTCCCTCTCCTGCAGGTCTGCCACTCAGGGAATGCCACCAGCTCACTGCTGGATTAGAAAGGGACTCCTGGCCCCTAGTGGTGCAGATCTTGGGAACTGTGCACTGGACTGCAGGCCAAACCCCTGTCTGTCTCTGGCTTTGTGCTCTGACTTATTTATGGAATGACCCTTAGAAGTCTGGGGTGCAGGGTGTCTACTGACCTCCTTTCAACCAGTCCAGCGCCATGGGATTCTCTTCGAAGTCGGAAGGATTTCCTTCGGAAAACCTTGGTTTCAGACAGGCATCCCAGACAGAGAAAAACACAGCTTTCTCCTTCCTGGTGAATAACTCCTCACCAAAGAAACAGCTCCTTGCTCTGCAGCTGTGGGGCCATAAATCCCTCCGGGGGAGGAAGATTTACAGGGACTTCTCTGGTTCTCCCACAGTAACTGAAGGAAATATGAGGCCCAAACGCTGCTTACCTTGGAAACAGGCAGCTGGGGGGGGGGGGGGACAAGACAAGACTGAACCAAAGGATGTAATGTCAGATCCCAAAGCTGCACCTCGAGTGGCCCTGGCTGTTTCCATTCATCGAGCACCCTGACTTTAATTTTAATTTACCATGGTAGCTCACCCTGGGGACGAATAGACTTGGCCTGAGAACTGAAAGCAGCTAGCTGGGGTTCACAACTGAAAGAGGGATGTGACCCCAGGGAGGTAGACACTTGTGGGACCCTCGGAGGTCTCTGGTGACCAGGGCAGGCTTCCTCGTCACTGTGCTTCACCCCGGGCTGGTAACGTGGCCACTGTGTGTGTCCTTCCAGGGTCTCCCGTACAAGCACCTGATCACCCACCACCAGGAGCCTTCGCACCGTTATCTGATCAGTACCTATGATGACCACTACAACCGGCACAGCTATAACCCGGGCGTGCCTGCCCTGCGTTCCTGGAGTGGACAAAAGTTGCTGTGGCTGCCAGAGAAGTCCGACTTTCCCCTTGTTGGTACGTTCATCATTGGGAATTTTCCCTGTGTTTTGTCTATGAGGGAACCACAAAGGCACAGGGCTGAGGTGTGCTCCCATCACAAAGACCTACAGGAGCAGTCGGGTGAGGCCCCAGGAAAATGACCTCATTTGTCACTCAGGGCTGCCCCTGCCTTCTTCCCTTGCCATCAGGGACAACCCTGTAATGACAGCCTCGCCAGGACCAGAGGTAGCTGGAAACAACATGCTCCGTACTCCCGTGCCAGGCTTTCTCTCTAGGCACAGGAACTGAATCTTCTTCCTTGGGGTTCCTGGGGAACAGTGGTGACAAGCACAAAATGTTTCTGCCTGAGGGAACCGGTGATCCAAGAAAGAGACTCGTTAATAATAAGATTGAGTAAACAAGATCCAGACAGGGGTGTAACTGTAGGGGGGGAAAAAAGAGGCAGAGTATTCGAGAACTTCTTTTATTTATTTATTGGTTTTGTTTGTTTGCTTTGTTTTGAGGCAGGGTTTTTTTTTTAATTTATTTTTATTTTTTGTTTTTTTTTGGTTTTTTTCGAGACAGGGTTTCTCTGTAGCTTTGGTGCCTGTCCCGGAACTAGCTCTTGTAGACCAGGCTGGCCTCGAACTCCCAGAGATCCACCTGAGGCAGGGTTTCTTTGTCTTTGCCCAACTGTCCTGGAACTAGGTCTGTAGACCAGGCCGGGCTCAGATTCACAGAGATAGACCTGCCACTGCCTCCCGAGTGCTGGAAGTTAAAGGTGGGTGCCGCCACCATCCAGCTTTGAGAACATTTTTTTTTTTCTGTGTTCTCTGGCTTCTGCTCACCCTGCCAGCCTTCATTCTTTATAGAACAGCCTGGAAAATGTGGCAGGAGTGGAAGACAATTGCTCCTCCTGTTCGCTGGCTCTTGCGCCCCACCCCAGCAGCTCCCCCAGGTGTCTTCATCAGCATGGCGGCGCCGTTCCAGAATCAGATAGATATTTTGCTCGGGTGGCCGATGTGGCACCTGTGTGTCTGCTCATAACCGCCCTGTGTCACCCAAACCTGGTTTCTCTTGCAGCGCCCCCCACAAACTACGGACTGTTTGAGCAACTGAAGCAAAAGTGGCTCGCGCCCAAGACTGGTCTGAGGGAAAGCATTTATACCACATCCTACCCCAGCCTGCCAGTGTGCGCTATGTCCAGGAGGGAGCATGCCATCCCGGTCCCTCCCCCTCGGCTGCACCCCATCCCACGCTTCTGAAAACTACCACTCCACTTGCAATCCAGCCAGAGACAGCTGGAGACCCATGGCCTTGTTGGACTTGTCAGACAGCAAGCATCTGCAGATGTAGCCCAAGAATTAATTATGGACCATTGTTGTGTGTGTGCGCGTGTGTGTGCGGTGTGTCCTGGAATCATGATCTGTGTTTTATGGGACCTTCTCTCTAAACTCACAGATTGTTGCTGTTTCCACCCGATAATTAAAATTCCTTCACACTACTCCAAAACCACAAAGCCACGTGTGTACAGAGACCAACCAGACCCTGCAGGAGACAGAGAGTCCCCAGCCTATTGTGTTTCTGGTCACGGTGACCAGAGATCTGACAGACAATAACTTAAGGGAGGAAGGGTTATTTCTGGTTTACAGTTCCAGGGGTACAGCTAGCCTATTGTGCTAGGGAAGACAGGGCGACAGAAGCAGGAGGCAGCCAGTCGCCTAGCATCCTGAGTCATGAGTCAAAAATCAGGCGACTCAGGGTGAAAAGCAGACTCAGCTGAGATCCGGGAGGTAGCTGCTGAGAACAGGGACAGTGGCCTGAGGGCAGGATCAGAGGAGCCGGTGATAAGGAAGGAGTCCACCTCACTGCTGTTGCTAAGGTTATAGGGCAGGTGTGGTGGCGCAAAGGGAATGTCATTGGACATTGGCCTCTGCCTCTGGGCTCGCAGAAGAGGGCTTTAAGAAAGTTGGAAGATTTCTTGGGGTTGGAGAAATGACTCAGTGGTTAAGAGCACTGGCTGTTCTTCCAGAGGACCCAGGTTCAATTCTCAGCCCCTCACACGGCATCTCACAAGTGGCTGTGACCCCAGTCCCAGGGGATCAGGCATCCTCACACAGATAGACAGGCAGGCAAAACACCAATGCACAGAAAAAATAAATCTTAAAAGAGAGAGAGAGAGTAGTGTTAAGTTTAAATCCTAGTTAATGGGAATCTGCCGCCACTGATGTAATAGGCCAGTCAAGCCGAATCAATAAATCCAGGTTTGGATTCCTCAGGGCTGGAGTGAAGCTTCCATCCAAACAAGCAGATTTCCTGAGAAAAGACTATATATAGTCTTGCGCTCATCCAGGGCAGGGTTCCACCTGCCATGGGGATCTGTCACCAGTTGAAAACAGGCTTCTAATTTAGCACCTTTGTACTGTGTTTTTTCATATTTATTTATGGGGGTGATCATGTGTGCACCACAGCGCATCTGATCAGACAGAGGACAATGTACTGGAGTCAGTTCTCTCCTTCTACCATGTGGGGTTCGGGGACTGAACTCAGGTCAGCAGGCGTGGCGGAACAGTTACAGCCCAGTCTTTCTCTGAAAAGCCTTCCTCTGCTATGGGCGCCTACCCCTGCTCCAGCTGTTGCTACTGTGGGCTCTGTGCCCTGTATAAGATGATGCTTTACTACCCACAGTGGTGGTGCACGCCTTTAATCCCAGCACTCGGGAGGAAGAGAAAGGCGGATCTCTGTGAGTTCGAGGCCAGCCTGGTCTACAAGAGCTAGTTCCAGGACACCTAGGGCTGTTACACAGAGAAACCCTGTCTCGAAAAAAATAAATAAAACAAAAAACAAACAAACAAAAAGATGCTGGATTATTGAGTGTGTATGAATAACCTGTTGTCTTTGGGGACTCCTCTTGGACCATTACTTTAATCCTTGAGTCTCTGTCATGCTGTTCTTCCGGTGCAATTCACAAGGACTAGCTAACCCTAGTCTCAGAAAACCCTGCTCTTCCCAGAACTCAGATCCTCCCACTACAGCCTCAGAGCAAAGCGTCTCCTTTGGACCCCTTCTGCTCATCGAGGAGAATATTGAGTATACCTCACTGTAGTTCTGTTCTTAGACATTCATCCATCCATCCACGCGTTTATCCGTCTATTCATCTCTATCCATCCATGCATACATCTCTATCCATTCATTTATCCATACACACATACACATCTCTCTCCATTTATCCATCAATTCACTCGTCTCTTTATAAATACAGACATTTCTCTAACATGTATACATACAAACATACATACAAATCTCTCTCTATCCATCCATCCATCCATCCATCCATCCATCCATCCATTCATCCCAGCAATGTCAGTACAACTGGTTCCACTAGGTCATCTAATGTGGTCTCCCACCCAAACCAAGGCAACTGTTTATCTGTTTTGCTGAAAAATAAAAAATAGAAAATTGTTCTTACATTTTTGCAAAACAGAGAGTTGAGCAGCATTTGTCTGAGGATGAGCTTGACTTCTGCCTGGGGGACCAACCTAGCTGACTAACCACCGCATTCCAAGGTTCAGAGTCATTGGGGCTTCTTCTGTTTTACAGATAAGGAGGAAATGGGCAGATGAAATTCATCAAATGGCCCAAGGTTACACAGTTGTTGACGCCAGCCCCAGACACTGAACCCATGCAAGTGACCACAAGCGTGCTCATGGAGCCCTTGTCCCTTTCCACGAGATGCCCAGGGTCCTCTCTGTGCCTGGCTCACAGGCATGTGTGTGTGTGTAGTGTGTGTGTGTGTGTGTGTGTGTGTGTGTGTGTGTGCGCGCGCGTGTGCGACTTTTGCACTGCAGGCAATAATGGGACTCAAAGTCTAGAGCCCGAGTTTGTGTCATCCCTTCCACAGGACACCTGCGGCCTCCAGCCATCTGCTCCAGGGTAACCCTGCACCACCGGCTCCTTCCTTATTTTTCAAGTGTCCAGAACTTAGACACTGACACACACTAATGGCCTGGTAAACATCTGTTGAAAGACTAAAGGAAGGCAGGGATGCCAGAAGGCCAGGAGAGCTCTGGGAGACAGAGCTCCATCTTTTCTAACTCCCAGCCCCGTTAGTCCATAAAAATTCACTAAACTATGATAGAGCAGGTGCTGGCTTCACAGAATCTCAGTTCAGCAGGAGAGGAGGTCTACTAAATACTGACCCGACACGGGCGATGGAGAACAGGACTATGGCACTTGAGACCTGGGAGTCATGACGTCCATGATGGAGATGTCTGATCCAGCCAGGTAGGGCCAAGGGAGATTTTCCTAGGGAAAGATGTGTAGATCAAAGTGGCAAAACTGAGGGGATGGACAGAGGGGAAGGGAGAGGGTGGCTCAGGCCACTGCAAGAGCACGTAAGAACACTCTGCCCTAGTCAGTTGCTTAGCAGCTGTGGAAAGCTCAGCAAGGTAGAATATGTTTGTTGTAGCTACTGTAACAAAACACAACCATCCCGTTGCCTTAAAAGGATATGCACCTATGTTCTTACAGTCCTGGTGATGAGACACACTTCTAGAAAACAAGAGGTCAAGAGGGCTACATTCCTTCTGCAGGGTTCCAGGATGAATTCTTCCCCTGCAGACCCTGCCCTGGGTCCCCCACCCATATCACCCCTGCCCCGGTCAGGGACACCTTCACCCACAGTTCACAATCCCTTTCCTAACTTCTCTGGGCCATTATACCATGCCCTGTCCAGCTGGTTAAGATGGTTCTGGGGCGCTGGGCGGTGGAGGCACACGCCTTTAATCCCAGCGCTCAGGAGGCAGAGGTAGGCGGATCTCTGTGAGTTCGAGGCCAGCCTGGTCTACAAGAGCTAGTTCCAGGACAGGAACCAAAAACTGCGGAGAAACCCTATCTCGAAAAATCAAAAAAAGAAAAAGAGATGGTTCTGGGATAGGGAAAAAGAGATAGGTTCTGGAGACTATGGTTGCCTAACATACACGTGTGTAGTGTCTTAAGGTTTCCATTGCCATGGTGAAAGACTACAACCAAAGCAACTTGGGGAGGAAAGGGTTTATTTGGCTTACACTTCCATATTGCTGTTCATCAGCAAAGGAAGTTAGGACATGAACTGTTGGACCCTAGAGTCCAAACACCGAGGAGGAGTTGCCCCCAGAGACCACCCCTCACACCATAGCTGATATAAAAGCATGAGGATTTTATTAATTCTGTCATGACAGGGTCCCTCAGCATTTGGGAAGCTGAGAGACCTTGAATAGCTGGTACAGGCTATTTTTAAAGGAGAAGGCCACAGAAGCAAGGGGGGGGGAGGGAGTTGTTCTTTGACTATTATGATTGGCTTATTCGAAAGGGCTGTTACCAGTAATTGGCTGGAGAGCTGTTGCCAGGTCATCAACATCTTAAAGGTTATCTTGCCTCAATTTCTGGAGAACATGTGTAGCTGTTAGGTCCTTGGTTCCCAGGGGAGGAGGGTAAGCGCTAAGGTATGGAGGCTGAAAGGGTTCAGAATTGTCAGAAATGGCTTCAGAATTGTCTTAAAGTTTTACAGAACTCAAACAGGTCAGGAACAGGGAGGCAGGAACTGCTGCAGTGGCCTTGGGGGAGCACTGCTTATAGGCTTGCTCCTTGTGGCCTGCTCAGCCTGATTTTTATAGAACCCAAGGCCACAAGCCCAGGCATGGGACTATCCACAATGGACTGGGTCTTCAACCAGCAATCCCGAATTAAGAAAATGCCCTAGAGTTTTGCCTACAGCCTGATCTTCTGAAGGTATTGTCTTCTGTGTATCCCCGACTGTCTGGACCTCAGACTGTCCAGGCTGGCTTCAAACTCAGAGATTCACCTGCCTCTGCCACTGAGTACTGAGATTAAAGGCATGTGCCTCCACTGCTCAGCAGGAGATTCTTTCTTTCTTTCTTTCTTTCTTTCTTTCTTTCTTTCTTTCTTTTTTTTTGGTTTTGAGACAGAGTTTCTCTGTAACCCTGGAACTAGCTCTGTAGACAAGGCTGGTCTCGAACTCACAGAGATCCACCTGCCTCTGCCTCCCAAGTGCCCAGCTGAAGCAAGCAATCTTTTTTTTGTTTTTGTTTTGTTTTAAATATTTATTTATTTATTATGTATACAATATTCTGTCGGTGTGTACGCCTGCAGGCCAGAAGAGGGCACCAGACCTCATTCCAGATGGTTGTGAGCCACCATGTGGTTGTAGGGAATTGAACTCAGGACCTTTGGAAGAGCAGGCAATGCTCTTAACCACTGAGCCATCTCTCCAGCCCCTGAAGCAAGCAATCTTAATAGGAGTTAAAATAATCAGTTAGCTGGGGGCGGGGGCGTTTTCACACAAATGGGCAGTTTAACAGAGCCTGAAACAAGTTAGCTAGGGCATCCTGACCTTTGGTTCCAAGAACAGAGCTGGGTAATTTTCTATGGAATTCTCTATCAGGGAGATCAAATTCTAGTTAAACATGAAAAGGCCTCATCAAGAATACAAGATGGAGGAACCTTTGCATTGTCTTGCCCTGTTCCAATGAGACCCTGTCACAGGGAAAAACATATATATCACTAAACCAGATAGATATCCTTAAAGGTTTCCCCAGCTGTAGGAGGTATAACTCTACAATGTAACTGCTGACACTGTGTTCATTTATCAAATGGGTACAGCAGTCATTTCTAACTCAGATAAGAATACTGAGCCTGATTACAGCTGTATTAGCAGAGTCGAAGTTTCCAAGCTTCTTGCATTTGTTTTTCCTGCTTCTGTTCCCAAGCCCACAGAGTCGCTTCACGCCGGATTGTTTTCTGGTCTCTCCACCAAGATCCATCACAGTAATGGTGAGGACAGGGACACTCAGGAAAATGAAACAGAGGTACAGCTGCCTGTGGCTACAAACTCTCTTAAGCAGTTTTCAGCTGTCATTCGGAGGAATTGTGAAGGAAATGGAAAAACTGAAGAACAAGCGGGAAGAGAAGAGGGCCCAGAACTCGGAAATAAGAATAAAGCAAGCTCAGGAATACGACAGCAGCATTCCAAAGCGGGAATCTGCCCAAATGATTAAAAAAATTCTGGAATGTCACCCACTCACTGTGACTGATCCCATGGAAGAGCACAGATCCGTGCCTGTGTTCGGAAGCGCTTGCTGAATAAACAAAAGCTGGCTAAGAAAGAAATCAACGTGGTTTCTGCCCCAGCAAGTGTTTCCTCTGAGCATGAACCAAATTAAAAGTGGACCTGACAAAGTATCTGGAGAACCAGGAGGTCTTCTTCAACTTTGCCTTTGATAAAACAGTTCCCAGTGAAGTTGTCCATATGCTGGCAGCAAGGCCACAGCTACAGACGATTTTTGAAGGGGGAAGAGCAACCTACTTTGCCTATGGGCAGACCGGCAGTGGGAAGACTCACACAATGGGTGGAGACTTGTCTGGTAAATCCCAGAATGCATCTGAGGGGATCTATCCAATGGCTTCCCGGGATGTCTTCCTTCTTAAGAGTCAGCCTTGCTCCTGGAAGTTTATGTGACGTTTTTCGAGATCTACAATGGAAAGGTATTTGATCTGCTCAACAAGAAAGCCAAGTTACGTGTCCTGGAGGAGAGCAAGCAGCAGGTGTAGGCTGTGGGACTGTACCTGGTCAACTGTGTTCATGACGTCATCAAGATGATCAACATGGGCAACACCTGCAGGACTTCTGGACAAACGTTTGCCAACTCTAATTCCTCCTGCTCCCATGCCTGCTTCCAGATTCTTCTTCTTTGAGCCAAAGGGGGATTACATGGCAAATTGTCTTTGGTGGATCTGGCAGGGAATGGATGAAGGGCCGACACTTTTTAGTGCTGACTCGCATGGAGGGTGCAGAGATGAACAAGTCTCTCCTAGCTCCGAAAGAGTGCAGCAGGGCTCTGGGACAGAACAAGGCTCACACCCCATTCAGCGAGAGCAAGCTGACACAGGTGCGGAGGGCTCATTCCTTGGGGAGAACTCTAGGACTTGCATGATTGCCGTGATCTCACCAGGAGTAAGCTCCTGTGTGAATGTACTTTAAATCCGCTGAGCTATGCAGACTGAGTCAAGGAGCTGGGCCCCACAGTGGATCCAGTGGAGAGCAGCCAGTTCAAATGGAAATGGAAGAGATGGAAGCCAATTCTAACGGGACCTGCCTGGCAGTCAGTTTCTTCAAGGGAGAGGAGGAGCTGTCTTCCCAGATGTCCAGCTTTAATGAAGTCATGACTCAGATCAGGGAGCTGGAAGAGAGAGGCACGGGGGAGCTCAGGGAGATCAAACAGCAAGAACCAAGGTGACCTGAGCTCTCGGTGATGGCCGATCAGTCAGACTATGACTTGGAGACCTTTGCGAAGGAAGCAGAATCTGCCCTGGCGCGGCAGACCAAGCACTTCTTGGCAGAATCCACTCACAAGTAGCTACGCCCGTTATGGGTGAAGACCCAAAGACCATGACCAGAATTCTACTTGAGAGTCAGTATTAAGCTGGGCTGTGAATGCCTAGAGAGAAACACTTCTCACAGAGCAGCCCCCATTGCATAATCCAGGGAGTTCTTAAAGACAAAGGACACAGAAAAGCTACACCCTGGTTGGCAGATGCAGGGAAGCCAAGCCAGCAATTTAACAAGCATCAAGGAGATGTTGTCCGCTGGGGCACTTCTGCCCTGAGTTCTAGGACAGGGTTGGGTGCCTTCCCACTTTCCCATATAACTTTTCAGGTCAAGGGGCAGAAAACCAAAGATGGCTGCAGTTGAGGCAAGATGGAGGAATCTTTGCTGACACAGCCCCCTCTGCCAGCGTGCAGTGGCATGTTGGCTATAGAGCCGCACACTAGAAATTTCCTTGAGAATCAGGCTGTAGGAGGTGGGAGGAGAACCCTAGCATCTGCCTGCACTGCCCTCAGTGGCCCTCTTGACACCAGTCTACAGGCTACCTGGGTTTTGCCTTGGAATCTCTCTGTGCCTTGTATTAACGCTAGAAAACAGGTGCGACAAAAAATTAGGAGGTAAACCGAGCTTAGCAGAACACCCACGGGGTCGCAACACTCAGGACGCGGAGGCAGGAGGATCAGTCCAAGGTCATCCTTGCTAGCTTGAGACCAGCTTGGGTTGCAAGAGACCATCTCAAACAAAATAAACGAAACCAACTAAAAATTGGAAGAAAAAAAAATCCCAACGCAAACTCACCCCACCTCAGTGACTGTTTTGTTCTTGGATAATAGGTGTGGCCGCTGGAGGTGAATTTAGAGGGACTGCGGCTGGGGAAATCCATACACAAATTCCAGGTAAGACGTCAGCCCACAAGGTCTCCGCCTTGCTGTCATGTCCCCCACCTTAGTTTTGTCATCTGGGAAAGGAGGTCTCTCAGAGGTCCCTAAACGTGGGTTGAAAGCCGGACCCCAGGGACTCCTAATCCCACCTGCCTTCTGAACTTTGATTTCACCTAGACTGGGAACTTCCAGGTTCCCCAGGCAGGCACAGCTTAGGAGCCTGCGATGTAGGAACCCCATCACCAAGTCAACCCCTCCACTGGGGGAAGGGTCTTCTCTTTGAACATTCCAGGAATCCCCCCCCCCCCACTGGGGAGCAGGCTTTTCCCTTATCTATGCAAGTTGCCCTGTCCCCAGTGCTGCCCAGGGCCACTCAATTACAAGTCAGGCTCCCTTTGAAGCAAGGTAACTCAGCATTAGAGCTCCTGCCTAGCACGAACAAGGCCGTGGGTGTAGAAGACACAGTTCTTGTGCTCAGGGATAAGCACTAGGGAAACCAGGAATGTTAAACCGGCAGGGAAAGAAGCCTGACCTGTTTTCTGCCCAGAAGGCTAGGAGCAGCCGGTGGGGGTGGGGGTGGTTAATATCCCGGTGACCTGTGCACTAAATGTATGGTGAGACCACACCAGATCTTCCCCCAGATCCTTAAGATGTCACGCATACTTCACAAAGAGTCTTCCATGTAGCCATCCCTTATTTATTTATTGTGCACACAGGATTCTGTTTATTATCACCAGAAAATGTCCTCCGAATCGTGCTCTGCTTAAATATGCCTAAAAAAAAACTACTGGGTGTCAAAGTCTGAACCAGACTACTGAGACCTGTTGAAACTGGACTTCTTTCTGGCCTCTCATCCCCCCCCCCCCCACTCTGCTGGCCTGGCGTTTGCAGAGCCCCCTCCCCCCACCCCCGCCCCCCACGTGGATTCAATTCCAGCTCGGGGTAAACCTGGCTCAGTGGCACGCACTTGCAGTCCCAGCGTTTGGATGAAAGCAGAGGAATCTGGAGTTAAGGCTACTGGTTTACACAGTGAGTTTGAGGCCAGCCTGGAGTGTTTGAGACCCTACCTCAAAGTAAAATTTAAAATGTAAAACCGTCGCCCCTTGCTCCACCAACCCTGGAACGCGAAGCCCGTCTGGCTGTTCTTTCAGCAGAGAGGCCTCCGCGTTCTTCGGAGGGTTGGTTACAATTGGACACTTTAGGACATTCCTGTCCTTGAATGGGCCTGTGAGCCTGGAAGGCCTCGGGGTAGAGACCTCAGCCAGCAGCCACGAGGGGAGGCGGGGAAAGGGGAGGGGCTAGGATAGGAGGGGGGAGGCGGAGGCCACGGAGGCTCAGTCTCTCTTAGTCCAGGAAGTGCAGTACAATGGCGGTTTTTATGTTTCAGTAGGAGAACCCTGGCCTCTGGAGTTCAGCGCAGAGACTTCGTTGCAGGTATTTATGACCATCCCAAAGCAATCACGACTGTCCAGGGTAGAGCAGGTGTCAGTGTAAAGATTCCCCATCGCTCAGGCAGATCCACGGTAGTCTGGGGTAGTTTAAGGATTGGCGCGTGCGTCCTGAGAAGTGGGCCGCAGGCCTCAAGCAAACTTCGCGGAAGGCGTTTGCACAAACCCGGAGAATTGGTGTAAGCCACTCACTGCCTGACCGCCTGGCTCCTTTTTTTTTGTTTGTTTGTTTGGTTAGTTCTTTGTTTTTGAGACAAGGTCTCTCTGTGTATTTCTGGCTGGCATGGAGATCTGCCTGCCTCTGTGGAGGTTTAAGTGTGCCACTTTGCCTAGCCTTCCACTGCTTCTGCTTTTTTATTTAATTTAAATTTTATTCGTTTATATTTATTATTATAGTTATTTATTCTTGGTTTCTAGAGACAGGATTTCTCAGTGTAACAGTCCGGGCTGCCCCGGAACTTGCTTTGTAGACCAAGCTGGCCTCGAACTCTGAGAAATCCCCTTGCCTCTGCCTCCCGAGTACTGGGATTAAAGGCGTGGGCCACCACTGCCGGCTCCTGTGTTTTTGAGACAAAGTCTCGTTGTGTAGTCCTGGCTGTCCTGGAATTACTAGGTTCTCCTTGAGCACATAGCAATCCACTTGCCCTGCCCACTGAGTGCCAGGATTAAGGGTGTGCGACTCCATGCACGTCCCTGCATTGCCCGCCTTCCCGCCTTCCGCGCCCGCCCACCCCCACCTTTCATGGAAATCCTTTTGCCTCTGCCTCCTGAGTGCTGAATTTAAAATTGTGCCCACATCCAGCTTGCATAGCCCCCTGTTGCAATCAATGCAGTCTGCATGAGGCTGGCCCAACACACAGTCTGTTTTGTTGTTGGTTTTTTCTTTTCTTGTTTTTTTATTTTTTCCTTTTTTTTTTTTTTAAAGATTTATTTATTTAGGGCACCAGATCTCACTATAGATGGCTGTGAGCCACCATGTGGTTGCTGGGAATTGAACCCAGGACCTCTGGAAGAGCAGTCAGTGCTCTTAACCTCTGAGCCGTCTCTCCAGCCCTCTTGTTTTTTTTTTTTTCGAGACAGGGTTTCTCCATAGCTTTAGAGCCTGTCCTGGAACTCTGTAGCTCTGCAGACCAGGCGGCTGTGAATTGACAGAGATCCATCCGCCTGCCTCCCAAGTGCTGGGATTAAAGACGTGCGCCACCACCAGCCAGCCAGTCTGTTTCACTTTATCTTTTTTTAAAGCTTTATTCTGTATTTTATGTATGTTAGTGTTTTGCCTGAATGTCTGCGCCCCCCAGTGAGAACCTGGTGGTTGTGGAGGAAGGAAGAAAGCGGTAGAGCCTCTGGAGTTACAGTTTGGTTTTGTTTTGAGGCTGGGTCTCACTGTGTAACCAAACTTGCCTCAAACTCACAATCTCCCTCAGACTGTGTGGAGTGCTAGAATTTCAGGTGTAGGCTGCTACGGCCGGCAATGTTTGTATAAAGGAATGTGCTATAAAATAATGATCTGGGAGCTGGAGAGGTGGCTCAGTTGGTACAGTACTTGCCTAGCATACACAGCCCTAGGTTTGATCCCCAGCACCACATAAAACTGGGCATGGTGGTGCATGCCTGTAATTTTAGCAGTTGACAGGTAAAGACAGGAGGATCAGAAATTCAATTCTTGGCTACCTGGTAAGTTTGAGGCCAGCCTGGAACCCAAGTGATCTTATCTTAAAGAAATTATAATAATGTAATTAAAAATATCTTTTAGCCAGGTGGTAGTGGCCCATACCTTTAATCCCAGCACTCGGGAGGCAGAGGAAAGTAGATCTCTGTGAGTTCGAGGCCAGCCTGGTCTACAGAGTGAGTTCCAGGACACACTTCATAGATGCACAGAGAAACCCCGTCTCAAATAATGAAACAAACAAACAAAACCCTTCCGAGACAGGGTTTCCCTGTAGGTTTGGGGCCTATCCTGGAACTAGCTCTTGTAGACCAGGCGGGCCTCGAACTCACAGAGATTCACCTGCCTCTGCCTCCCGAGTGCTGGGATTAAAAGTGTGCGCCACCACAGCCCGGCTTTCTTTTTGTTGTTATTGTTTTTTTGTTTGTTTATTTTTGCAAAACAAAAAAATCTCTTAAACAGCCAGGTATGGTCGTCTACACTTTTAATCCCCAGTACTCAGGAGGAGGAAGCAAGTAAATTCCTATAAGTTTGGGATCAGTCTGATCTGCAGAGAGAGCTCCAGGTCAAGGATACAGAGGAGACCCGATCTTTAAAAAACAAAAACCAAACAAACAAAAAAACAAACCTAAAGAAACACAGTCATCATAATCAGTCTCATAAATGTGACTGAGCACCTGGCCTGTTCTGAAATGATGGATTGTCTGTCCTCCCCAACTGCTGGCAGGAGATGGGCGTGATGAAAAGCTGTTTTCCTGGTGTCTTAGGGGGAACATTAACCCTCTGCCTTCACAGATCGCTGGCTCTCCGCATATATCGCAACCCGAAGACTCAGTTCCTGCCTTTGCTCATTGGCGGGTGGTACCGTTAGCTAGAGTATCCTGGTTACATATTCTGGTGACTCCATCAGACAGCTTGGGAACCCTCCGGTAAGTTGATGAGCTAATGAGATATCCTGCTCACTGCCAGAACTTTGGGGTCCCTGGTGGTCCTTTTCTGGAAAACTCTTGTCTCAGTTGGTACAGTACTTGCCTAGCATATACAAACTCTGGGTTTCATTCCCCCCGTACCACATAAATCCATTTATGGTAGCACAGATCGGTAATTTTAGCAGTTGAGAGATAGAGGCAGGAGGATCAGAAGTTCAAGGTCGTCCTTGGCCACCTCATGAGTTTGAGGACAACCTGGAACCCAAGAGAAGTTATCTATAATAATAACAATAATAAAATAATTTTTAAAAGGTGTTTTGAAGACCCAGGGGAAGTGGTCTACAACTTTAATCCAGGGGCAGTGCGGTTGTGAGCCTCTGCAGATGGGGAGAGGTTGAGTGATGATCTGGCCAAAGTCCCAGGCAGTAGAAAAAGGACTGATTAACTCTTATAACCCTTGTTTCCCAAAGCTTCCAAAAACCATGGCCTTTCTCCCTTTTAAAACACAACCCAAACCATCTAAGCCCAGCCGCCACCTTCTCTTCCTCCTCTGTGTCGCCCACCCATCCCCGCCAGCTCCCTGATCCTTCCCATGCCTCTCAAGACTGCCTTCCCAACCGTGTGACTTTGTGAAGCTGTCACAGGTGAGGAAGACGGGAACCTCCACCTTTGCTTTGTTTTCTGTAGCCCTGGCTGTCCTGGAACTTGCTTCGCAGACCAGGCTGGCCTCGAACTCAGATCCATTTGTCTCTGCTTCCTGAGTGCTAGGATTAAAGGTGTGCGCCATCATCCACTGGCTATTATTTATTTTTTTTTTAATGCAAAAATAGCCATCGGTTTTTCAGCCTCCTAAACTGTTCCCAGCCAGAATCACTGCTGGAACTGAGAATGTGACCGTTGGGCCACAGGACATACTCCACCTTTGTTCCAGGGCCATAGGTGATGACAGAAATCTTACCTAAAAGGCAGAGTAAGCTCTCAGGCTCTTAGGACCGTACTGAAGGTGAGAGGACACGGTGCAAGGGGATCCTGCTTGGGAATGGATAGGTAAGGGGGATCATTGCCAGAGCAGCGGCTGTGGGCCTGACTTGGTTTCTGAGTTGAGAAGGGTGAGCTTCTTTTTCTTTTCCTTTTTTTTCTTTTCTTTTTTTTTTTTTTTTTTTTTTTTGTCGGAGGGAGGGGGTTTCGAGACAGGGCTTCTCTGTGTGCCTATCCTGGAACTTGGTCCTCGAACTCAGAGATCTGCCTGCCTCTGCCTCCCAAGTGTGCGCCACCACCACCTACCTGGCTGAGAAGGGCTTCTTAATCCTTGACGTCTTTTCTTGGACATTGCCTTAGCGTCATCTCCCTGCAGATCCATCAAGATGAGCTTCCAGGCCACACCCACACTCCTGCATCTGGCAGTGCGGAGCCTGCTGAGGGACGAGGCCTTGGCCGTCTCTGGTCTGCAGGACCTGCCCGTGGAGCTCTTCCCACCGCTCTTCAAGGAGGCCTTCACCCACAAACGGTTTATGGTCCTGAAGGCGATGGTGCAGGTCTGGCCTTTCCCCTGTCTCCCACTGGGAGGTCTGATGAAGATGAAGGCATCCTACCTGGAGACCTTACAAATCATACTGGATGGGATTAACATACTGCTTGACCAGAAGGTTCACCCCAGGTACTCTAGGAGGGCGGCTTGGGAGTCTAGGGTAGGGAGAGCTAGGGTCAAGGAGAATAGAGAACAGAGGGAAGCCTAGAGGCTTGTGTTGGCTTCGGGAGGATTTCAGAAGCCATTGGATCATTGCTGAGCTGTCTAGGACTTGAGTGTTCAGGACTGTTTAGGACAGATATAGTTATTGTGATTTCTTTTATCACTTTTTTTAAAGATTTGATTTATTATGTATACAACATTCTGCCTCCATGTATGCCTGCAGGCCAGAAGAGGGCACCAGATCTCATTACAAATGGTTGTGAGCCACCATGTGATTGCTGGGAATTGAACTCAGGTCCTATGGAAGAATAGTCAATGCTCTTAACCACTGAGCCATCTCTCCAGCCCTCTTTTATCATTCTTAAAAAATAAAACCTGGGGATAAATATTAAGGATATAAACTTGAGAGAATCACAAGTGTCTACTTCCCAGCTCAAAAAGGCCTCGGGACCCCTTGGCCCCACCTCTTTCTCCTCCGAGGGCCTCTTTCTCTTCTCTAGTCCACCAAGGAACTCCATGATCCATTCTGGCCAGCTGAATGTGAATCCTGCCTCTCGAACCAATGCCTGACTCCCTTGGATATCAGAGCACAACCCAGAAAAAGTTCCCATGACACATAGCTGTGCCTACCCCTGCCTCTTTCCATAGGCGTTAGAAGTGGGACCAGGCCAGATTAGAGAGGAAGGGTTAGAGATCATCAAGGTGAATAGAAGGATCAGAGAGGGAGGGAAATGATGTTGGGGGTAAGAATCAAAATTGGTTCAGGCCTGGTTTCATAGTGCAAGCCTATAGTTTCAGCCCTCGGCCTCAGGCTACAATTTGGCCGAGACCCTATTTCAAAAAATGGAAAAGAAGTATGACGGGGGAAAGGTGGGTTCTTGTCTTAATTCTTAGACTTATTTCCTCAACAGTAGCCACAAACTGAGAGTTCTGGATTTGCGTGCTATGCACAAGGACTTCTGGAACGTGTGGGCTGGGGATGCGGCAGCTGCCGGCTCTCTAGAAGTCAAGCGTAAGAAGAAAACACAAGACAGAGGTGCAAGGGTAGTGGTCAAGCAGTCGTTGAAGGTGTTTATAGACATGTGCCTCAAGCCAAGAGCCCTGGATGCGTGCATGTCCTACCTTCTGCTGTGGGTGGAAGGGAGGACAGGCTTGCTGGGCTGTAAGAAGCTGAAGATCTCCACGATCGCTCTCCGGAACATCGTGAAGGTTCTGGAAATGCTGGACCTGGACTATATGGAGGAAGTGGAAGTGTGCTGCACCTGGAAACTGTCCACCCTGGCCAGCTTTGCTCCCTACATGGGCCAGATGCGCAGTCTCCGCAGGTTCCTTCTCTCTCATGTCTGCATCCCTGTCCCCATTTCCCTCGAGGAGAAGGGGAAGCTGATCGACCAGTTTACCTCGCAGTTTCACAACCTGGAGTACCTCCGCGAGCTCTCGTTGGACTCGATCTCCTTCCTTGAAGGTCAACTGGACCGGTTGCTCAGGTGAGGGAAGATGGAGAGCTTTCCCTGAAGACTGCAGCAAAGCCTTTTCTCTGTTTGAACAACTTAGTGATAAAGCTAGAGTTGGGGTGTCCTGCTTTAACAGTGGGGGAAGGAGCTGCAGGGCAGTGGGCGGAGCTAGACACACAGTGATGGTGCCAGACCCTGAGTTAGAATGGGTAATTTGAGTGATCATACTCTGAGGGGCAGCCTACTGGGTATTGGCATTTATATAGTAGCCGGAATGACTTTAAAACAAATGATCCATCCTATCCCAGGAGTCCCTAACCTAACCACAGCTACTCATAGAAAACTAACCACTTGATCTCCCCCTAGGTGCCTGAAGGTCCCCTTGGAGACTCTGTCTATCACTGACTGCCAGCTCTCTGAGTCAGATTTGAAGTCCCTGACCCAGTGTCCAGGCATCCGTCAGCTCAAACATCTGGATCTAAGTGGTGTCATACTGACCAACATAAACCCCAAGCCCCTCCGAGTCCTGCTAGAGACAGTCGCAGCTACCCTGAAGACCCTGGACCTGGAGAACTGTAGACTTATGGACTCCCAGCTCAGTGCCCTCCTGCCTGCCCTGAGCAGCTGCTCCCAGCTCACCACGTTCAACTACTTAAGGAATCCCATCTCTGTGGCTGTTCTGGAACGCCTGCTCTGCCACACCGCCAGGCTGAGCCGCTTAACCTTGGAGATGTATTCTACCCCGTGGGAGATTTATGGTGCCCAGGGTGCTTTCCACCACAAGAGGCTAGAACAGCTTCGTGAGGAGCTGAGCAGGACAATGGAGCCCCTGAAACACGCCAGGACAGTGTGGTTCAGCATCATCCCCTGTCCACCTTGTGGCTACTAAGCCGTGTGAGTCAGAACCCAAGCTGTACCAGGGATCTGGTCCTATCCAGCTGGGTACCAAATGATTCCTTCTAGCTCTTAGAAGCAGGTTCCTTATAGTATAGGTGAATCCCGAAGAGAACACAGAACCTGTGGTCTCAGTTTGTGTTAGAGGTGGGGGGGGGAGGGGGAAGGGATGGGTCTAGCAGCAAAGGCTACCTCAGAGAGAGAAATGTTGACCTGAGAATTGATGGGATCTTTAGGACACATACATTCAGAATAAGAGGTGAAGTTTCTAGAATCCAGATGAAGAAACACTTGAGGGTGTTGTTGACTGTGATGTGGACTGAGTAAAGAAATGGCCAGTGTATTCTTCTCTCCTTGATGTTACAGGGTGAGTGGAATACACTGTGACTGTGGTCGCTTTGCAGGCCTCAGTAGCCACCAGCAGCAACCACAAAGTAGCAAGGGATAGGCTTAAACTTTAAATAGGCAACAACCATACACCATGTTTGAAAGTCAGTAAAGCAAGGCCGGGTGTTGGTGGCACACACCTTTAATCCTAGCATTCAGGAGGCAGAGGAAGGAAGAGCTGAGCTTGAGTTTACCCTGGTCTACAGGGTGAGTTCTAGGACAGCCAGGGCTGATAAACAGTAAAGCAGACAGATGTTAAGAAACATCTGTGTTAGTCTAAAGGTACCTAGGTCACAGTTGACCACCACCACCAGATCTGGTCTTCATCTGACATGTGTTGGGTCTACAGCTGTTACAACCTCTTGACTAGTCCTAGTGCACTGTGGGTGGGTGGTTATTAGTAACACTACTGGGGGTTTAAACGTAGGGCTCAGTATGCTGGCCAAACGCACTATCGCTGTGAATCTTTAAAGCATTGCACTGCTGGGGTATATGTTGGATTTAGGGGAATTTTCGTTGTTTAAATAAATGTGTGTTAAAGAAATTGGTTTTCTGGATTTTTTTTTTTTTTTTTCCAGAGACAGTCTACATAGCCCAGGCTGTCCTGGAACTCACTGTATACCAGGCTGGCCTCAAAGTCTCAGAGATCTGCCTGCCTCTGCCTCATGGAGCTGGGATAGCAAGAAGTCTTGGTATATGTGGTTCATACTAGACTTGAACTCATGGTATTCCTCCTGCCTTAGCCCCCACTCCCATCACCACTAGTGTGGGTTATGAGAGTGTGCACCCACCATACCTGGCCGGGAATGCTGTGGTTTCGTTAACTCGCATTCTCAACTCCTCTCTGAGTGCCCATCCTTTGAGTTCATACACACGTGTGCCATGAAGATCTCCTCTCCAGAGTCGTTGGTTTGGGAATAACAGGATTGCAGCCTCAGATATGCATACATGTGCGTTTCCAAGGGGTGGAGGGGAGGTGTTTAAAGGAAACAAATGCAAGTTACCCGTTGTGAGGGGGAGGCTCACTGGTCCCAGGGGCCTGTGGCAGGAGCTGCAGCCAGGCACACAAACCTCCGGAAGGGGGCTTATTTGGGACAGAGTGGCTCTGAAGAATTCTCGCAGGCACAGGGCTCTGTCCTCATCTCCTGGCTTCATTTTGGTAGGGCTGGACATGACTGAATCCATGTGAATACGGTTAACTTCCACTAGGACACACACTAACCCTCCCCAATGTGGAGCTGAGTGCTAGCTAGAGCCTCTAGATCTCCTCAAACCATGCCTTCCCTCCTTCCGGGTTGCAACCCTTCTTGGCCTAAACTAGTTATGGCTGGTAAAGACAACTAGATTCCCTTGGAATCAAATACTAAGATCACAAAGGTATGGAAGGCTTTAGTAAGAGTTCCGTTACAATATTGTATTTTTTGGGGGACTCGATCATATCAATGAAAAATCTTTCTACTTCCCAAACCAAAGATATCTTGAACTTGTGACATCCTTTGATCTCTGCCTCCCAAGTGCTGGGATTACAGGCCTGTGCCACCACATGGTGATTGCCAGGGACTGAGCCTAAACCTAGGGATTCATGCTCGCAAATGAGCTGCATCTCCAGCCATAGAGCATGTAGTTCCCACAGTGGCCAGAAGAGGGCATCAGATCCCCTGGAACTGGAGTTACAAACAGGAACGGCCACTTGGGTTCTGGGAACTGAATCTTGGTCCCCAGCAAGAGCGCCAAATGCTCCTAACCACTGAACCATCTCTCCAGTTCCCCTGGAGCTGGTTTAGAGATGACACAGGATATAAGGATGAATAAGACCAAGGTGCCTGTGGTCGATTGATTGATTGTACCTTTAAATAAAGGATTCCTACTGAGTTCCCCAGCTGAGGCCTGATGGTTAGGGGCAGGGGACCTGAAGTATGAGCTTTAGTTTCAACATCAGATGAGGATATGAGCCACATCTAACAATGAGGCCAGCCTAGGGGCCAATGTAATGATGCATGGTTAGGGCTTGGTAAACATTCAGTTTGCCCTGTTTCTGATAAACAAGAGGAAGACAGAGACATGAGAACAGAATGGGACTGAGCTTTGACCCCTGGCCACTGTTACATCGCTGCTCACCACCAAAGCAGAACAGATTCCACTTTTGTGAGCGGAGTGAGCGCAAGAAAAATTTACAAGCTGTGGGGTTTGAGCGCCACCTTCTGGTAGTCCAAACCAAGTGGCACAAGGTAACATTACAAGGACTATAGGGTATTTTTAAAAAATGTTACGAGTAGTACATGATGGACTACACCTTTAATCTCAGCAGATTAAAGGAGACAGAAGCAGGCTGATTTCTATGAGTTCCAGGCCAGACTGGTCTACACAGTAAATTCCAGGCAAGCCAGGGCTATAGCAACACCTTCACTCTGTGTGTCTGTCTCTAATTAAATATATTATACACACTACACTATATATTAATATAAAGTTATATATAATAAAATGTGATATATATAATATATTAACTAAATATATATTATATGCGTGTGTATTATGTGAAGGCTATTGGTGTGGATAATTTGAATAATTCTGTGTGCTTTACATAAGGATCCTCTTAAAACATTTGTTCTCAGACAGGATCTCATTTTGTAGCCCTGGCTGGGCTAGGACTCGCCATACAGACCAGGCTGCCCTTGCCTCTGCCTCCTAAGCACTATGATTAAAGGGTGCACCCAGTGCATTGTTTTAAAATTATAAAAGAAGTTTGCTGCTTTTAAATAACAGGAGTAGACACTTAAAATTAAAAAGGAAGTTTAGTTCTCTTAAAGAATGCAACATCTATGAAAATATGTTAAATTTTGTTTTCTTTCTAAAAAAACAAGCGAGATTTTTTTAAGAGGTAGATTTTAAAAACCAACGCACAAGCATTTTTTTTTTCCGTCTTATGCAACCTGGGAATGGTGCTCACAGAAAACTGAACCCACAGGCTATGGAGAAAGTTCTAGGTCAGCCTGAGTGAGACCCTGCCTCAAACAAATAATAAACAAAAAAAGTATTTAGAGGTAGAGGTGGGAGGGTCAGTTCAAGTGAATTCATAGTTTGGCCAAGCCTGGGCTGCAGGAGACGGCCACAAACAAACACAACTTTCAGCGGGACCACTGAGATGGCACAGTGAGTGGCGGCACTCGCTCTGTGCAAGCTTGTGGACCGGGGTTCGATCTCCATAACCCATGGGAGGGCAGCAGAGAACTGACTCCACATAGCTGTCCTTGACCACACATATGCCATGACACACTTGGTGTACACACATGCACACCCACACACACAGAGTAATAAATAAATTCACACTTAAAGAAACACCTTTGGTGCTTTAGAGATTTAGCCTTGCTCCCCCAAATCCATACCACCAGAGTCTTTTAATTGTCTCCTCATTTTTTATCATTTCCATGAAGCTTTTTTGTTTGCTTGCTTTTCTTGGAAAAGGTCTCCCTGTGTGGCTCTGACTGTCCTGGAATTCACTGTGTAGACCTGACTGGACTGGAATTTGTATAGATCCTCCTGCCTCTGCCTCCCCAGTACTGGGATTAAAGGTGTGTGCCACCAAGCCCTACACCAAGTTAAAAGTTTTAATTGTCTGTCTTAGGTTTGTTCACATCTTTCCACAGCCTGGAAACAGTCATTTGTGACAGCTGACCCCAAATTCTTTACCCTTTCAGCCAGCAACGGAAGCACACACACACGCACACACACGCACTCACTCACGCACGCACGCACGCACACTCCTGCCCCATGACAATCCAACCTATTAGATGGCGATTGCCCCTTAACAGGACAGGGAGTGTCTGTCACCCTGTTGCCCCACAGCTGGCCCCTGATAGCAGAGTTGTTGCTTTACCAGACAGCACATGGACATCTCTATAATCAACATGGATATTTCACCTAGTCTTGGTAGCACACACATGTGTACAGTACAGGCATTCAGGATACAGGCAGGTACAAGGATTCATGAGTTCCAAGCTTGCCTGAGCTGCTTAATTAAACTCTGTCTTTGGCTGGGGAGATGGCTCAATGGTTAAGAGCATTGGTTACTCTTGCAGAGGACCCCAGTTTGAGTCCCATCCCCCACAATGTAGTTCACAGACAACTGTAAGTCCAGTTCCAGAAGATGTGGTGTCTTCTTCAGACTTCTACAGGCACCACACATGCATATAGTACATAGACACATACAGCAAAACATTCACAATAAAATAATAAGTACAAAGCAGGTGGTAGGGGTGCGTGCCTTTAATCCCAGCACTTGGGAGGCAAAGGGAGATGGAAGTCTGTGTTCGAGGCCAGCTTGGTCTACAAGAGCTAGTTCCAGGACAGCTAGGACTGTTACGCAGGGAAACACTGTCTCAAAAAACAAAAACACAAACAAACAAAAAAGTAAACAAGTGTTGTCTAGGGAAAAGAAGAGACAAAAACATCCATAAAAATTAGAATTACAGCCAGCATGAACAACATCAATCAGGAAACACAGGCTAAATGTTTCAATAGTTATCCTATCCTACGGAGTCTAAGTCTTTTTTTATGGGTTATTTAACTTTATTTTATGTGCATTGGTGTGAAGGTGTCAGATCCCCTGCAACTGGATCTTCAGACAGTTGTGAGCTGCCATGTGGGTGCTGGGAATTGAATCCGGGTCCTCTGGAAGAGCAGTCAGTACTCTTAACCACTGAGCCATCTCTTCAGCCCCGGAGTCTAAGTCTTATATTAAAAACGTCTTGGTTAAGGGATGAGAGGAAAGTAACTATGACAATCTAGTCTCCAACCCCAAAGACCCCAGAAGGAAAGAATATGATCTAAGTAAACAGAAAGTGCATTGTAAGCAACTTCCAAAACTCTAGCATTGACAGAGACATCTTGCTGCCTGGACGGTCACCCAAAGTTCTTCTGTAATGTTGAGGCATCCATCTTCAGCTTACAGACTCATAGTATGTGGAAGACTTTTTCATGAAACAGAAAATTTGAAAGACTATTTTGCCTTTATTGGCAATTTGCCGGTCAGTTTTGTTTTTTTTCCTGTGTCCTGCAGAGTGTGTAGCAGACACTTTCATGAAGCAGGAGCTCCGAAGGACTGTCTCATCTTCTTTACACAAGCTCAGGGGAAGGGGAATGGGAGGGGGGAAGGAGTGCACAGGAGGGCTAGGGATGTAGATCAGTCGACAAAAATGCTTGGGTACCTGACTTTAGTCTCAACACTCAGTAAGTGGAAGCAGGAGGATCCCAAATGCAAGGTCATCCTCTACAAAACTGGGAGTTTGAGACCAGACCCTAACTTTAAAAATCAATTAAAAAAATAAAACTCAATTAAGTAAAAATAGCCAAGGGTGATGGTGCAAGCCTTTTATTTCATCACGGATAGATAGATCTTTGTGAGTGCCAGGACAGCCAGGGCTACATAGTGAGACTATCAAACAGACAAACAAAACAAAAAACAGACAGACATACAAACATAAAACAAAACATAGTGAGACTC